GTCCTGGGCCACAGGAATATCCTCTACTCTGGCACTGTGTCCTGCCTACTACTTTGAAGCCAAGTTGTTTTTCTCCTTTAAAGCCAGCCAAGACTAAAAATAGCACTGTTTTCCCCATCTGCCTGAAAATCAGAAAGAACCTAAATAGCAACCCGCTGAGTGGAATTTCTCACCTTTGTGGGTGACTCAGAGAGACTCCCAGAGACGGGAGTCTGTGGCAGAGGCACACATCATTCCAGGCCTCTGGAAGCTTCTCAGGAACCACAGCCCCCACATAGGGGACCTTGCAGGGGCTGTGTGAATACTGGCATATAGCTTGTTGAGAATCCAAGATTGATTGTATGCCATGTGGTCCCGGAGGTTCCTTGCAAAGACCCTGGTTTTTAGGGTAGACAGTACAGCAGGGGTCTTGACTCTCCCACACCTTTGCTCTAATTGGCCTAAACTAGAGGTTCTGAACCCACCTCTCAGTGTACATGGTGTCTGCATGTGCTCAAGCCACGTGAGTCAGGCTGGAACCCAAGCTGCCTTTTTAAATTTTGTCTCTTAAGTTTTGTACCTTAATGAAGAATTCAGGTATCCGCATGCAAGGAGCTTCTAGGCTGCCCAACAGCACCATCTATGTGGTTGAAGCCGGGTACCTAGGTAAGTGTGGCCCCCTGGGGAGACATTGATAGCTTGTGACGTCATCAGTTCAAGAAATCAAAAAGTGCAAACAAGAACTGCAGTTCAGCTTGGCAGTATGTGTCTTAGTTAACATGAACCTGACCACTGTCTGCCAGATTCAGGGGCATCAGTCCTCAGCCCAGCATCATGCAGACCTGACTATTGCTATGTGCCTGACAAAGTTGGCGACCCTGGTGCTCAGCTGAGCTACAGAGCATCCTTAGGTTGACATAACAGTTGGCAGTGCCTTGGCCAGGAAGAAGGAGGCACTAGAGAGAGGAGGAAACCATCTGTAGCAGTAAAAGACTCTGAGGCCCACTAGGGCCTGAGAGCTTCAGTGATAGCCAGCACCAAGGCCTTTGGGATATATGTGTCATGGGTGTCACCTTGGCAACATTTCCTGGGGTCTGAGGCAACTCACCTGTGGAGTACACTGCCAAAGTTCAGTCAGAAGAAGGATGGCCAGATGGGCAGCAAAACCCTTAAGAACCTCTTGTCAGAGAGCTTGTGAGCCCCCTTGTGATGCAGAATCCAGTTGACAAGTAGCAACCCCAGGGAGGGTGACCATTTGTGTCTCAGCAGCATCCTTTACCTGATTGATCTGTGATGAGACTTAGCTTCACAGCAGAGGCCGTTACAAACAGGTGGCAAGATTGTGGTGGGAATAAACACCAGGGCAGAGGAAAGACTTCTGGAGATTCCGTGTATGACAGGTGCTGTGTCAGACTGAACTTCTGTGGTGGGAAGGGTGAATAGAGTGAGCAGCTTGGCTGGTGTTGTGCAGGTGAGAAAGCAAACAGTATCGTGGGAATAGAAGTAGCTAGTATGGCATCCTAGCTCAGTACCCTCAGAGCCCAGACCCAGATACACCTTGTCCAGAGCTCTCAAGTGCTCTAGCCTGGGATACAAAAACCTGTCCTAGCTTCAAGCTAGACCTGCTGTGCCTGAGAGCTTGGACCTTCTGTCACTACAGGTGAGACACAGTATCACCACAGTGTACACATCCTTCAGCCTCAGAGTCTAGACTGCCATGGTCTTGGCCCGACCTGTGTGACCATGGGATAGACTTATATTGGCCAGTGAATAGACTAGCTGAGGATTCAGAGTCTAGATGGGTTGTGGCCTCAGGCTAAATCCACTGGAGCCTCGGACCTTCTTGGAAGTCAGAACCTTGATTGCCACAGCCTCAGAGCTTAAACCTACTGAGGGTCAGGTTCAGGCTGATGAGCCCATTAGTGTTTAGAGTGTGTGTATTCAGTGTTGGTCCTAGGGATCAGAAAGATCGACTTTGGTTCTCTTAAGTCAGGAGTAATGGTGGCCATCAGGTCCCATACCTCTACATCCCCAGCAGCCATGCCAATTCAACGCTCTGGGGCCTTCTACATGGGTGGGTATATAGTGCTTAGCCTCAGGTTCTTTCTCAGTCCTGCTGCCCTTGTAGCCTGAGTGTTGAACTCCCTACTTCCTGTTCTAGGGTTCACAGTCCACCCTGGTGACAGATGGGTGCTTGAGACTGGGCGTCTGTATGCAATCACCATCGAAGTATTTGATAGGTCCAGCAACAAGGTCTACCCATCTGACGTGAGTGCCTGCTGGGGTTCTGATGGAGGGATGCTGAGGGATCAAATGTCTAAGGAGCAGTGAATGCCACAGGGTCCCCACATACGCAGATCAGAGCTTCCTGTGGTGCTTTTAGGGCTATCATGGGCTATCATGGGGTCGCTGTTAGACTGTGAGTTGGTGTCATCCCCTCATGCAGGACTGGGGGTAGATAGCTCAGGCAGCAGGGCCTATGTGGATAGTGGTAGTGGTGATAGTTCTGTGTGTTCCTATTTCTTACATGGGGTCCTGAGGTGACAGTTCATTTTGCTTTGGAGTCTGGATATACCTACTGCCTTCCAGAAGCTCTCAAGTGTTCAAGGCCACCATGTTAACATCTGGGAATGCATGAAGATGAGTTGGGGAGTGGTGGTCATCCTTCTGTCACCAAGGAAAGCCTCCCAGTGCCCTCACATAGATCACACAGTCTCTAGCTGTGGTGTTTGGGATTTTAGGAGGCCAGTCTCCTTTTTCTTCTGGCAGAGGTCCTTCTGTCCCCTGCTGAACAATGACTAAACAATGGCTATGTTTGAAGCCCCTACTGTCATTGGTTCATTGCAACTCCGGGATCTGGGAGAGTGACAGTAGGCTGTCAGCTACCTTGAGGATCACACATCCAGCTAGAACTGTGGTGCTGGGTCTTGGAGCCCAATGCTAGGCAGGGAGGGTTGCTGGGAGGGCTCAGAGCACTGGGGCCTCATTCCTTCCTTCTGCCTGCTTTGTTTAAGAGGCTTGGGGACCACGGAGGCTCTCAGCCTGGCCTGGCTGCTGTTTTGGAGCTCTCCCAGTCTCGTGATGTCACACTCATCTTTCAGAAGCTACCCTTACCCATCCTGCTTGCCTTTCCAGAACATCCGAATTGAAGCTGTGCTTCCTGCTGAGTTCTTTGAGGTTCTGTCCTCTTCCCAGAATGGGTCTTATCATCACGTCAGGGCGATCCAGAGTGGCCAGACGACCATCAGCGCTACCCTCACCTCTGTGGTTGACCAGGTGAGTTGATGTCCTAGGCCCTGGGCACCCGTAACCCAACTCTGAGGGTAGAAATGTCAATTGGTACGTACTTTGCAGTGGACAAACCCTGTGCCACTGCTCTGGTTCCTAAGCAGACTTTCCCACTTTGGACTTGAGCTCCAGATGCCCTTGGCTGTCCATAGCTTGATGGGGATCTTCCTGTTGCCATAAGCTTTCTCTTCCTCCACCCTGCACCCATCCTATTAAAGTGGTCTACACCTTCTAAGATCAAATACAGATTTTGTTTGGGGGATAGCATGGGCAGTAGGCCCGCTTTCCCCCATTATCCGTTTTGTCCACTTGAGTCCTTCAGCCTTTGTTTTTGTCTTGTACTGAAAAGCCTCATCAGCCCTTGGGGGAGCAGTATTTTACCAGTCAGAACTTTGTCAAGGGTATTCCTCTCCCCTGCCTCATACAATCCCTCCAGACTTGAGAAAGGCAGCATGTGGAGAGGTAGGAAGGGTCTGTACCCTAGACAGTGATGCCTCATCACTGCAGCTCTGCGTTTGGGTGAGATGCTCCAGGCCTCAGTTTCTTTATCTGAACTTGGACAGCCACATCCATCCTGTGAGGAATACCTGAGGACTCAAATAAGTAGAATGTACACAAGTGACCATTAAAGATCGACAGCAAGCCTCCCTGCCAAGTCCACTATCTTCACTATATCCTTAGGAACACAGCTACCTTTTATGGACTGGTCCTCAAGGAGGGGCAGGGTCTAGTGTCAGGAAAATAACTAGTGATGATGTGGTTGCCATGGTGACATGCAGCAATCTCATCTTGCAGGATGGAGGAGTCCATGTGCTTCAGGTACCTGTGTGGAACCAGCAGGAAGTGGACATTCATATCCCTATCACACTCTATCCCAGCATCCTGACATTTCCATGGCAACCAAAGACAGGAGCCTATCAGTACACCATAAAGGTGAGTGAGAGACTGCTTTAGGTATTTTCTTTGAGGCGTTTCCTTGGGATAATGACTCTGTTTTCATCTTTTTCTATATTCATTTATTGAGACAAGATCTGAACTATGTAGGTCTCACTAGGTTGGCTTAGAATGAACTGTCTCAGACTGTCTAGTGCTGAGACAGGACTATCTCACATCTGGCTGTCCTTTTGCCTTCAGTTTTATTCTTGAGAGATAGGAAACAGCTTTAAATGCGACAGGCCTTATGATTTTTTTTTTGATTCCTCAGGTATCCATCGCAGCAATGTAACAAGATAAAACAAAACAAAACAAAAAAACCACAGTAACTGTCCTGGTTGGTTTTGTTAGTTTGCTTGTTGTCAAGTTAAGCTAGAGTCATCTGAGAAGAGGAAACCAGGTTGGCCTTTGGTGTATTTTCTTGATTGATGATTGAGCTGCTGGACAGGTGGTCCTGAGGTGTATAAGAGAGCAAACTGAGTGGGGCATGGTGATGCACACCTCTAATTCCAACACTCAGGAGGCAAAGGCAGGCACATCTCAGAATTCAAGGCCAGTCTGGTCTATATTGGGAGTTCCAAGACATCCAGGGG